ATATCTACATTTCATTTTGTTCTCTTTATCCTGGTGTTAAATGCACACTATATTTTAAATTGTGTGTTGTCTGAATTTGCTTTTTCGAATGCTTTTTAATCAAAAAGACAAAGTACATTTCAAGAGGTGAAAAAAACCTGTGACTGGTTACTTTTCTCCCACTCGTAGCAATCCATGTCAGTCCTTTTGTATCCAAGACTCAGTTCTTACACTAGCAAAATAGAGACGGGATGAAAGAAACAGCTGGTGTTTGAAGGAAAATATAAAGATCTCTACAAACTATAGGTTTCCAGGACAGTATTAACTTCAACTGAGAGAGATACATTTTGTACAAAAGTGAAAGAGTCACGGGCTGCCTAAAATGCTGGCTTTGGTGGTAAAATGTTGTTATGCCACAACTCAGAAATTATGTTTCTAGGCTTCCAAATTCCAAATGTCTGCAATGTGTCCTGATTGCATCAGGCTTTAAAAATTAATAAGAAAGCTGCTGAATTATCATTAAGGCTTTGGCTAGAGGTTTTGACTACCTATATTTTCACCTGTTGTAGAGAGTTGAAACTGAAATACTGAGAGACTGTATTCAGGAGTGGGCTGGATTTAAAATAGTAGATGAGCACAATCCGTGTGACTATTGGATGTGTTTGCTGCTTACAAGGCCCAGGTGTGTGTCGTAAATTGTAATTATCCTTGCTTTTAATTTTTCCCCTCCAGGGAAATGATCTTATAAGCAACAGTTTAACCCTTTCTTATCACAAAGGGCTTTTCTAACAATAAGGACAAAGATGAATATCGGATTATATTTTCCCCTGTTTTTGCTTTTTCCCATATTCTCTGCCCCATCACCAATCCCGGCTCCTTTCGTCCAGCAACAAGGAGGCAAAGAGAGCAGAGCTTCAATCAGACAGAAATGTCTTTACATGTTCATTGCACACAACAAGCCGGATAGGATTTCCCCTTAGGTTGTCAAATGTCAGCATCTGCTATGACACAGTTCACTGTGTTTGTTTGCTCTATAAATCATTTAGTTATGAAGGTTGCAAGTCATCCTGTGTGCATTTCATCATTTCCTGCAAACAGTTTTAACCATGTGTTCCTCTTTTGCTTTTTGGGGAAGCATTTTTCTTGTACTGGGTGCCCTTTTGTGCAGCAGGTGACATGTGAACTCAGACACTAGTAAGAGGTCCATTCGCTTCCAGGCTAGAATTGTTTTTCAGTTCCTGTTCTGCGTTTGTGTTTCAGACATCCCTTATCTGTGACCATGACTCTACCAGTTGACTCGGCCATGTACCGTTGGCGATGGCCAAAAGAAGAAAGTTCACCATTGGAATCAACACCTCTCTTATCGTCTGACAATCCAAGGCAGAACTGGAAACACAACTGGGACAGATGTAGGGTTGTCTTTCCTAGTAATGCTAGATTTCAAAAGGAGTTGGAAAGAGTCCTGAAGATGTACTGCAAAAATGGGATACGAACCACAAAATATACTTTGCTGACCTTTTTACCCCAAAATCTCTTTGAACAATTTCACAGGTATGAAAAGGCACCACTACCACCAAAAGAAAACCACAAGGATGGTTATTTTATCTGTTTTCAGTAAATGGAAAAAAGGTATTCAAAAAAAAGAATCATACAAAAAAGCACATAATGCCTTTAGAGAGGTAAGAATTAGCTATTGTTGCAGATTTCAAACTCCTCCTTTAAATTGTCATCAAAGGTTTTCCCATTATGTAAGTCTGGAACAGGCAACACAGCATAGGCATACACCATGTTTGTTATACAGCAATGTTTCACAACCTTGACAAGTTTAAGATATGTGGACTTCAGTTCCCAGTATTCCTCAGTCAGCATATCAGATACAGAAACATGGTGTATATGATCTTCCCACATAACACCAAAATTACAATAAAATAAAATTGTTTCTTTATTTTAAAATGACCAAAATGTTATGAGATTTTAAGTAACAATGCGAAAACCTTGGAAGATTTAAGCTAGATTTTGGCCTATTCATAGTATCTCTATTGCAAATCTGATTGACATCAGATATTCAACGAACTCTAAATTAAAAGTGGAGATCATTTATACAGTGTATAAATACTGTATATTAGAAAGTGTGCAGAGAAGAGCAACAAAGATGATTAGGGGACTGGAGGCTAAAAGAAATGAAGAATGGTTGCAGAAATTGGGTGTGTCTAGTTTAATGAAAAGAAGGACTAGGGGTGACATAATAGCAGTGTTCCAATATTTGAGGGGCTACCACAAGGAAGAGAGGGTCAATTTATTTTCCAAAGCACCTGAAGGTAAGACAAGAAGTGATGAATGGAAATCTATCAAGGAAAAAACCAACCTAGGTCAAAGGAGAAAGTTCTTGACAGAACAATTAATCAGTAGAATGAGTTGCCTCCAGAAGTTGTGGATGCTCCATCACTGGAGGTTTTTAAGAAGAGAAGAAACAGCCATTTGTCTGACATGGTATAAGGCAGGGGTGTCAAACTTGCATCGTCACAGCAGCGTCGTGTGATGTATAGGGACTTTTTTTCCCTTTGCTAAACCAGGCAGTGGCAGGGCCAGTACATGATGCATCCAGCTCACAGGCCACGAGTTTGACACCCCTGGTATAGGGCTCCCTGCTTTAACAGGGGATTGGACTAGAAGAGCTCTAAGATTTCTTCCAACTCTGTTATTCTGTTCTGTTCAGTGTATTAGAGTGGAATCTAATACTCCTCTTTGGCACCATCTGTGGATGTGCCAATGAAGTTTACCCCTTCTTCCCTCCATAAACACACATGCTCTAAACTTTGAAGAAAGTCAGAAGAACCTCCCTATCTCATGGGGAAGACTACAGAAGGGGAAGGAAGGATTGGATCAAAGTCTCATTGTGCAACAGGAAGTCACACAAGCAACCTTGAATTCCATATTTAGATATGGGTGATGATTTATAAAATGAATAATAAGGGACAGTCCAATAGCATTTTAAAGAGTAGGTCATTTAGTATGACATGAGATACTATACAATCCTTTCTTGGGCTATTTAGACACTAGATTGTGATGTGTGTCAGACGTTGCCTAATTCCAGTGTGTTGGGAGAGGCTTGGTGATTCATTGGGAGCTATAAATAACACTTCTTTAAGTAATGAGATGGTCCAGATCCTCAGGAAGCTATTCTAAGCACCCTTCAGAAGAAGCTTTAATTAAATTCATCTGACCTGAGAAATTATAGACCAGTCTTGAATAACCTAGCCATAGCAACTGGGTCATGACAAAGCAGCTATACATTTTCTCTGGTGGAGTGGATCATCCAGAACAATTTAAAACCATCCCAAGACCTGCTTAGGAAATTGGTTTTGAAGCCATGAGATAATCTACAGCTCTGCCTTGGCTGTCAATAGTCTGTAGGTCAACATTGATGTGGCTTTAATCTACATATAGTTTTACACTTGTGCATAAGAATGTTCTTCACATTGTGAAGGAAGATAACAGATAATACACATATGATTGAGAATATATGTGCTCGCTAGCCCACAGTTCCTAACAGGCCATGGACTGGTATCAGTCTGCAGCCCAAGGGTTGGGAACTCTGCTGTACACCATCTTGCCTATTTGAACCCTGGCCACACAGATGCTACAGCTGACTTGCCACCGTGCCACAAACTAACTCATCACAATTTAGTCTAATATTTTATGCAAAATCACCCTGCATGGTTAGTGTGGTTCAGTGCATGATTGGAAACGCAAAAAATTAATTTGGTTAAACCATGGTAAATGCATTGCATAGACACAGCTTTTGGACAGAGTTAAGTTTAGCCATTAAAGCAAACGAACAAATAAGGATTGGTGGTTGGTTGGTTGGTTGGTTGGTTGGTTGGTTGGTTGGTTGGTTGGTTTGATTGGACCAGAAATCATTGCCCCACCAGAACAATAAGAAAGAGGATAAACATAACAACTCCATTAATGATTCTATCCTTTTAGGTTGGCCAACATTTACTTCCTCCTCTTGGTGATCATCAACTGGTTCCCACAACTGGAAGTTTTTCAGAGGGACATCACAATGTTACCTTTAGTTGCTGTGCTTTTAACTATAGCAGTTAAGGATGGCACTGAAGATTATAAGAGATACAAACTGGATCAGCAAATCAATTCTTCTAAAACAAAGGCATACAAAAAGTAAGTCTATAAATGTGCCATTACATTATTATTCCTAATATCCCTAACCCATCCCCTATATTGATGTAAGCAATAAACTATCAGAATACAATTTGTAGCTTAAGATAATTTTATCTTTATAATACCTGTATTGCTGCAATTCTGTTGGTCCATTCAATTTCCTGTTAAAAATTGTATCTCAAACATCAATTCTGACGAATATCACAAAATTCATAATGTTATGCCACAGTTATTTGGATTCCTACAGAAGTAAGATTTATTTCACATAAGCAATCATGTAATATGCCTGGTTTTAGCTTATTGCTTTCTACAAATTCAGCCATTGAATGTGCAAACCATGGTTTGCAACCACGGTGCTTTCTTTAATAACCCATAGTTAAAGCATGGTTTAGGGTGATGTGTGAAGCTATTCTACAGATACTCCTCTTTGCATCACATATAATATATAGCCATTCTTTAATTGAATATTTTTTTTGACAGTGCAAACAGCTGGAGATGCAAGCATTTTGGGGAATGAGATACAAATTATGGAAAACAGTGTACAGACAAATTTCTCTGCGTGTAATTTCCATGCAAAGAAATGTAATTGTTTGGAGTTGTTGTTTTAAATTTCAAGTATTTAAAATTATAAAGGCCATATAATCCACACATATCTGAGATTCAAGTAAGAGGCCAGTGAACTTCTATTTTCTATTTTAAACTGTTCAGAAAGTTTTGGTGTCATTGTACAACCGAGGAAAAAAAAATCCAGATCAGCAGCAAAGCAGGCACTAGGACCCAGGATCGCTCTTTTTGATGGCAGCAAAACTGGTTTGCAGAAGGATGACACCTCTGTGTTTCAACAGGTGTTGACTAAAGCAAGCAAAAGCAGTTGGCTCAATTAAATTCAGCCTGACACTTCTCCCTGGAAGAAACCAACTAGAATAGTTTGTGTTTTAATTCTTTAAGTGTAGCTTTAAAGGGGCAGGAAGATGTCGAGGAAATGTGCTCAGTAACATTCCTACAGGATATACATTGGTTCAGAAGACCGTGCTGCCAGAGTGTTGTCTCAGAGTCTGAGAGTGTGGAATCTGTGACGAGAAGGAAAGGAGGAAAGAATGAAGAAACTAAACGAATTGTGCTGTCGAACTTGCCCTTCGAAGCCAAGTGGAAAGAAAATCCAAACAGATATTATGCAGGCAACAAAATCAAGACCACCAGATACACATTCTTGTCTTTTATCCCTAAAAATATTTTTGAACAGTTTCACCGCTTTGCCAACATATATTTTGTGGCCATCGTTGTTCTTAATTTTGTGCCGGTAGTCAATGTTTTTGAGCCAGGAATCTCTGTGTTGCCCATCTGTGTTATAATGGCCATCACTGCTCTTAAAGATGCTTGGGAAGACTTCCGGAGATACAAGCTGGACAAGGAGATCAATAGCATGGACTGCCTAGTATACAGCAGGTAAATACCTTCTGGGATGCAGTTTGGGGAGGTTTCAGAAGCAACTTGAATGAGCCTTCAGATATTATCCAATGTTATTTACTACTAATGCTACTTTGTCTTAAATAATCTAGCTAAATCCATAAAAACAAATATTTTAGTATTGCCGAAGAGAGTGAAATTTTCTCTAATAACCCCACCCAAGTTGCTTTCTTCTGTTTCTTTCCCTGTTCCAAACTAAACTTATGTGACATATCATAGAGATGTAGTGTTCATTGCAAAGACAATAGCCAAGAATTGAGTTGTAGTTTTGGCAGTTTTCGATCTTTTTTAAATGATTCCCAAAATGTGTTTTGTTTTGTTTTTCTGGTTTTTTTACAGCTGTCATATACATAACAACCCTTTTATATCGCTAGTCAGATTGCTAGTCAGAACCTATAAATATTTAGGTAAAATCAGAACAGTGAGCAAAATATGTGTACAGTTTCTGTAATACTTTGATAGTCCATCTCTTGGTTTCTAAAAAATGATATCCGTGCTGCTGTCATCATTTACTGAACTATCACATTTTGTTAATCATGTTTCTTTTCTTATAACCATTGTAAATGTAATATTTAACATATAATTATTGTAGTATTTAGTTGATTATTATATTTCTGTTCCTAATTTCTTGGCCTAAAGGAGAACTATTGAGGAAACTAAAAATTTGCATCGGGACACTGGCCCAGTTCAGACACCACAATCAAACCACAAACCAACCACCAGAGATATCCCTAAGGCCTCACAGTTTCCTTCTCTTCCTTCCTTCATCCTTCTGGTATTACAATTCCTTCTCTCACTTCCTCGGTCACCATATTTTTTCACCCACGCAAAATAAGGCCAATGATGAGTCACACAACAGTACTTTACATACATACCAGAATTCAAACCCAAAAGTTTGAACTGAGTTTCCTATGCTGCCTTACAGACAGCAATGGAGTTTTTTTTTTCTCAAGTTTGGTTGTAATTTACCTATTTTACTTGTAAACTATGAAGAATCAAGAAGAAAAGTTGGAATTGAATTTGTGTGCATGAACCACTGAACCATATGAGAACATTTCATCTTTAGGTATGGAACCTGAAGTCATGATATCTGAATTATGTCATTTTAGTGGCACAGGGGATGTGGTGGCTCAGTTGCTAAGACATTGAGCTTGTCGATCAAAAGGTCATAAGTTCAGCTGTTCGAATCCTTAGTGCCATGTAACAGGGTGAGCTCCCGTTACTTGTCCCAGCTTTTGCCAACCTAGCAGTTCGAAAGCACATAAAAAATGCAAGTAGAAAAATAGGGACCACCTTTGGTGGGAAGGTAACAGCGTTCCATTCGCCTTTGGCATTTAGTCATGCCGGCCACATGACCATGGAGAAATCTTCAGACAGTACTGGCTCTTCGGCTTTGAAACGGAGATTAGCACCGCCCCCTAGAGTTGGGAACGACTAGCACATATGTGCGAGAGGAACCTTTACCTTTACCTTTAGTGGCACAGATCCATATTATTGTCCCTATTAGTGCTCTTAGGAATAGGAAAAGAGAATTTTATTACTATCTGTATTTTATTCCTGAGTTTCTAAAGAGTGGAGAAGTGTTGATCTGAATTTTGCCACATATCTGTATCTTCATCTCTATACCCTGCTTTAAATTTAGTTTAACTCACTAAATTCCAAATCTTTTCCTAGGCCTCCTAGTCTCTGTAGCATAAATATGCCACGGGATTTTTCACTAATAGGCCAATTTCTGATATATTTTAGTAAGGATGGGAAAGCATTTACATAGGCATTTACCATAAAGGCTTTATTTCTTTTTAAGGTTAGAATACCTAAACTTTGGCCTGTCGTGATGTCCAGCTATGGGTGGAACATTCTTTGTTACTATTTGTCATCCGAACAGCAAGTTGGCACCAGTATGGAACTTAATTTCAGATAAAAGTCTAGGAAATGATAGTGTACAGGTGTATATTTGAATACCATACTATTAGACAAGATCTCTGCTTCCTTGCCACATAAAAGAAGAGTAAAACAAATATTTTCTTTAGTGGCAACAAATTTTGATGATTACCCTTACTCAATTTTGCCTCAGGGCTCTGACCTAAACTCAAAATTAGAGGAAGCTGAACTAGTAGATGGGAACTGCTTTCCCTAAGGCAAGTGATGAATTTTGGCTAGTTGGACACCGGCAATTAATTTACCTTCCGATGCCACTTAGAACTTTCCATACCTCCAGATGGTAGTCACTTGGAATTTTCCATAGTGTTGTCCTTCAACATTTCCATGGAGCTATGTGATGGGTGCATCAGAACTCTTAATTGCCTTGATGTATCAGAACACCTTGAATTTAGATTTTTTTTTTTCAATTTCAAGTGACAAAGGCATAGATCAAATCATTATTTTTCTTAAAAATTAATTATATTGGCTACAAGGAAAACTTGTGATAAAAAGTTGAAAGTTTGTAAAATGGATGAGATCCTTTATAATTGTTTTTAGCAGTACTTTCTTATCACATATTTCTATCAGGTCAGGTTTAAAGATATTGATAACATATTTAAACTGTGCTTCCCATAGCTTGACTTTTTTACATACATGTTCATATATCCTGGATCTGTTTGGAATACAAGAATTTTTCACACACTGCTACAGTATTATGAATTGGGATCCATAGAATGCCAGTTGGATTAATCCCAGAGGTGAAATCCAGCAGGTTCTGACAGATTCTGGAGAACCGGTAGCAGAAGTTTTGAGTAGTTCGGAGAACCAGTAGGGGAAATTTTGAGTAGTTCGAAGAACCGGCAAATACCACCTCTGGTTGGTCCCAGAGTGGGGTGGGAATGGGGATTTTGCAGTATCCTTCCCCTGGAGTGGGGAGGGAATGGAGATTTTGCTGTATCCTTCCCCTGCCACACCCACCAAGCCACTCCCACTAAGCCACACCACACCCACCAAGCCATGCCCGCAGAACCAGTAGTAAAAACATTTGAATTTCACCACAGATTCATCCTACATATGATTTCTTATTTTGAAGTGTTCCTGGCAGATGCTGCTAATGAAAGTTCTTCTATAATCTTCTTAAGATCATTTCATCATTGCTTTTATAAAAAGAAAGTTTACTTTAGTTTTGCTCCTAGTCATTCTTCCTTTTAAGCAAAAAACCTGAGGCATAACATCATGGTACTAAATGAGGAAGTGTTTTGTTTTATTTTATTATTTTGTTTATTAAACTTTTATGCTGCCCATTTCTCTCATAAAGTGACCGGTTTCTCACTATTTATATCTAATAATGTGAAGTACTTGTTGGGCTTATTTTACACAGTTGCAGCTAGTTCCTAAACCAGAGCTTCTAATATTTAAGACAAATCTTCATAGGCTGTTGTGAGATTTCTCTTAGAAAAGCTTGTTGATGTCCTAATACCGTGTTCATCTTCAGCTGATCTTGAAATTTTACCTTGCAAAAGGCTAACCAAGGCTTCCTCTTAAATAGAATTGATTTGCATAATGTTATTAATAAACATGCTGCAACACTGAAATAACTCCAGGCAATGAATTAATGGAGGTAACAATATTTATCAGGGAGACAGGGTCTTACGTCTTCTTGCCAAAACTTCCATTTACATACAATTCCATTATTGGAAAAGCCAGGTGCCTCTTCAATCATTGCCAGTGCCACACCTTTTGGTTCCAGTGCTTTGTATAATGCAGGTTTTCGAGAAAGGGTGTTCTCCCAATAGACAATGAATGTTTGAATGTACATATCTATAGAAGATTTCTTCCACATCTTAGTACATGATCAAACTGTTCCTGAAGACATCACACTCATTTTGAACATTGATTTTGCTCATTACACAGAAAAAGGGAATGCTAGCAACATCCTTGCGGTAATTCTTCACAGTGTTAGTACTATTAGGCTGGGTTTAAATTGTCTTCACAAATTCCTACCAGTTGTGCTTTTCAGTCATCTGGGAGAAGGAGAAAATTTAGCACTGACAGGCAATCTTTTGCCACATGTCCTAACCAAAGCAAGGAATATAAAGAAAATCAACCTAATATGATCTGTGCTCTCTAAAAGCACAGTTCTAAAAGATCAGTTCTTTTTGGGAAGATGAAAGTGGGAGTCATTCATTTGGACCTGACTGGACTTGGGCAAACTGCATTGAACCAGATATAGATCCAACCCTCTTTCATAAATCCAGGTTGGGAACAATCAAATTATGGATATAAAATATATGGGATCCACTCACTCCAGTATGAGACCTACTCTATAGCAGTGGTGAAATGTGAAATTTGTTACTACCGGTTCTATGGGCATGGCTTGGTGGGCCGAAGAGGTTGTAGAAAAAATGCTTTTAAAAGCCTCTGACAATCCCAGCTGAGTTGCCTGATCGTCAGAGGCTTTTTTTTCTTTTAAAAACATTTTTTCTACAACTTCTTCGGCCAAAGAGGTTGTAAAAAAAATGCTTTTAAAAGTCTCTGACGATCCCAGCTGAGTCGCGTGATCATCAGAGGCTATTTATTTATTTATTTATTATTTATTTATTTATTTATTTATTTATTTATTTATTTATTACTTTTAAAAGCATTTTTTCGGCCGAAGAGCTGTAGAAAAAATGCTTTTAAAAATAAAAAAAAGCCTCTGATGATTGCGCGGCTCAGCTGGGCAGGGATTTTTGCGCGGCTCAGCTGGGCAGGGATTTTTGCGCGGCTCAGCTGGGCAGGGATTTTTGCTACCGGTTCTCCGAACCATCCGCCACCATGCGATCCGGTCCAAACCAGGAGCATTTCACCCCTGCTCTATAGGCAATCACCATTTTCATTTCCTATTAAACATTTCTAGCTGTGAGACACTGTGAATTGCTTGAAAACACAAGAAGCAAAATTAAAGAAGCCAGATGGAACAAAAAGTACATGCCCTAAAATAAAATAGTTATAAAATGAAAACCATGATGTGGTTCTCTATACTATCTACCCCTATTTCCAAAAAACCTCAAAATAAT